TCGAGCTCCTTGCCAAAGGAGATACAAATTTGAAAGAACAGATTCTCCTTGTCGAGACCTTTTCTAATGATATTGGCATGACATTTGGACTCGACAAATGTAATACCCTTCATTTGAAACGTGGCAAGGTAATTGATGGTGGATCGGTCAGGTTACAAGGGGGAGGAGTTATTGAGCATCTTGTGGAAGATCAGGCCAACACCTATCTTGGAATGCAAGTTCGAAACAAGCCCCAGAACGCCCAAATTCAAGACAAACTTCGGGCCGAGTACAAATCTCGCTTAAAGAAAATCTGGAGCTCAGAGCTAAATGCTCGAAACAAGGTCAAAACCACCAATACTATTGCTGTGCCAGTCCTTTCCTATTCATTTGGAGTAGTTGATTGGACAAAACAAGACATCCAGAGTCTTGACAGCCTGACCAGAAGGCTTATGTCTGATAACAGAGCCAACCACCCTCGTTCCTCTCTCAACCGTTTATACATGCCATTCAATTCTGGAGGTCGGGGTTTGATTAATGTGGAGGCTCTTCATGATAAAATTTCATTGTGTACTTTTGCACATATTTATTTATCGGATGATCCTCTAGTGATGCACGTGAAGATTCATGATGAAAGCAAGGAATTCCACAGCTATTTTAAGCGTGCCGAGGTTGTTGGACAGAATCTGAAATTTGAGGTTGAATTTGTTGATGGTTATGTACTGCTGGACGGTACAGCGATGGAAGTAAACCAGGTGAAGTCCTTCACCAAGTCTGCCCAGAGTCGGTCATTTGTGGAGAAGCTTTCTGAGAAGCCATTGCATCGTGTGTACATGCAGTGTGTTGAACGGAATAGCAATCCCAGCGCCTCTTTCGCCTGGATGAAGTCAGCTGGTCTTAAATGTGAAACTGAGGGCTTTCTTTATGCTGCTCAGGACCAGTCACTTCCCACTCGTAATCGCCTAAATGTGATTCTTAAAGAAAATATCAATATGAAATGTCGACTATGTAATGAATTTACAGAGACTGTCCAACATCTTATCAGTGGGTGCCCTTCTTTGGCACAAACAGCATATCTTAAACGACATGATGGCATGGCTCGTTGCTTTTACTACCGTGTCCGCCATGTCTGTGGCTTTGACTCCGAGGTCCATCCATGGTACGACCTGAACATGTCCAAGACGTCATGGAAAATGACGCTTTCAAACTTCTCTGGAATAGGCCCATATACAGCCTGAGGAGAATTCCAGCCAACAAAACTGTTCTTGTCCTTTTTGATAAAGCTAATGAATTTATTTATATCATTGAATTTTCTGTCCCTTTTGACACCAATGTGATTGTCAAGATTCAGGAAAAGCATGATAAATATGCGGACCTCGCCTTTGAATTGTCTCGCTTGCATCCCAAGTTCACTGTCGTCAGGCTCCCCATTGTTCTCGGTGCCCTTGGTTTGGTACCTCCTGATCTCTTGGCGCAGATCAGGAGAGTGCCCGGGTTCTCCACCGGGAGCACAACCCTTCTGACAATCTGGGTAATGCAGAAGGCTGCAGTGCTGGGGAGCCTTCATATTCTCCGGAAAGCTCTTGGTGGGTTCAACTAGGCAGTGTTTCCTGGGAGAAGTTCCATTCGCTGTCTGGGCTGCGTGTAGAAGGGGCTAGGGCCCTGAGCTGATGATGAGCCTTACCAGCCTGACTGTGCCAGGATCACCCGAACCCTCTCTGCTGCATTTTCATCTTCAATCTGTCAAACATAATAATAATAATAATAATAATAATAATAATAATAATAATAATGATAAAACGGCCTCCCATGGATTTGTGGGCCCAGTCCACCTCGACAGACATGCTCAAGGCGCTACAGACTCATATATGTACATCTGTACAGAAGTAATACTAGAGCACATTAAGGGAGATACTGCTGGAAGAAGTAGGTTTTAAGTTTGGTCTTGAACAAGTCGAAATTGTCAATAGTTTTGAGGTCACAAGGAAGACAGTTCCAGAGTGTAGGGGCTGTAGGTGAAAGAGCGCTGTCCTAAAGTTTTCAGTCTGAAGCTGGGCACAGTGAGCAGATCCTGGCTGTTGGAACGAAGAGTGCGTGAACTGGAGTATGATTACAACATGTTAGACAAGTTCTGGGGAGCAGGACCAGGCTTGGCTTTGTAGGTCAGACACAGTATCTTATGCTCGATCCTGGCTTTGATGGGCAACCAGTGAAGCTCCTTCAGTACTGGCTTGATATGGCAGCGTTTAGGGTGACGATAAATGATGCGTGCAGAAGTGTTTTGGATTTTCTGGAGTCTGTCATACAATATGTTATAAATATTCCTCAGTTCAGCAAAAGTCAATAAACCACTTTTACTGCATATATCTTTTACACAGTAAATTCTTTCACTGTGCAAATGTTTAATAAAAAATGTTTTATATTTAAAATGATGATTGAGCCATAGGGGTTGGGACAGAATGTCACTAACATTAAGAGAAATTTATTTTTATTTTCTTACATAGTTTGTCCAAGCCTTCAAGACACCTTTGCTAATACGGGTTCTTACAGTGAGTGAGTTAAAATTTAGGGTCACATTATATATTTCAGCCATATCGTGACAAGAGAACCTTATACAACAATAAAAAGTATTAAATATATTTAAAGGTTATAAATTCCTGTCGTCAAAGGTCAGTACAACAACTGGTACATCACATTTGTTTTTATAACGAGTTAGGGACCATATAAAATTGTAAACAGTTAAGTGACAACACAATATATATATATATATATCCAACAACTGAAGGCAGGACACCATACTAGGGACCATGGGGACTTAGGTTCTTACAGTGAATATAAGTCTCAACATTGGCACCCAGTGTGAATATTTCACCTATAGGAAAGTAACTTGGGTTCTTTGGACTTTGAATACATCTTCTTAAATGTGATAACTTCAGGGCCTGAATAAATGCATTAATATCCACCATTCTGAGGTCGCCTTCTTCATATTTCTTAATCATAAAATTTCTCTACATCTTATCTGGTTTCCCATTCCATAAAAAACTTGAAAAAAGGTCCTTAATGAATGTCTCAGGGGGTTTGGAAGAGAAGAGAAAATATGCACTAAGGTAGAAAGGGCTAGGGTTTTAATCACACTTACTTTTCCAATTAGCGTTATCTATGCTTCCATGAAGCCTAGATTTTATTTATTGTTTCCATTCGCTTTCTTACATTTATCACCCAAAGGTCTTGCAACTTTGCATTAAGTGTAATACCGAGAATTTCAAAGTTATTTTTTCACATTTAAAACAGTTAAATTTTCACATAGCTTTAACTTGTTACCTGCCATAAAGCCAATCCAAATAGCTTTAGTCTTTTCAATGTTCATTTTGAGTCCAGACATTTCATAAAAAAATGTTCATTGTTTCAATAGTTGCCTTCAAACTAGACTCAGAGCCATCAAGAAAAAGTTGAGTATCAACGGCATATTGGCCTAGGTTATACTCTTGGTCATTCAATAATATACCTTTGATGTCTTTATTTTGTCGGATCATATTGCCTAGAATTTCTGCTACAAATAAAAATATTAAATACATTGATATTGGGTCACCTTGTCTACAGCCTCGTTCATTTATAAAAGATAAAGAAATATGTCATTTTGTACAATATAAGAACTAGCGTTATTGGATAAAATTGAGACCCATTTTCTAAAGTTTGATCCAAAACCAGCATAATAAAATGTTTAGAGACAGTATCCAAGGCTTTTTCAAAGTCTATGAGGAGTAACATTCCACGTAAATTCTTCTCCTTCAATTCAAACATAATATTATATAGCAATCTAATGTTATCACTAATACATCTACCTGGTATTTCATGTGATTTAATGATTCGTTTTTGAGTACTCATGAGGATATCTAGAATGACCAATACGACACCGTCGCACAATAACGTCTTCAAATCTGAACTGACAACCCAAGAAGGTATAACCAACCATCAGTTGGTTTAATTTCATTTGATTAATTGATTGGTACTTGAGTGATCCACTTCATTTGCAGAGTTTAGGAACATGTGTACAAAATGTTTAACCAGTTATATAACGGAAGGACATAACCTCTGGTTCAACATTTCGAAACAAGACTGTTGGTCGGTTTGCTGTCGCCGCACACAGCAATATTCCAGCTATATGGCGCCGGTCTGTTAATAAGCGAGTCTGGACCAGACAATCCAGTGACACCACGATGACATGTGTCAGTCCCCCTCCCACCCACCCACACACACACACACACACACACACACACACACACACACACACACACACACACACACACACACACACACATCCCATTAAGTCAACCCTTACGACAAGCATGAGTTGTTGATAACCAGTACTAACACGGATCTTCTTCATGGGAGGGAGTTATATAACGTATAAGGACTAACTGCTTGTTTAACATTTTGAAACAAGAGACCCTTTAAATGTTCGTATTCTTATCACTTACGTTATATTTGTACGCATGGCATATCTTTGTTCCTGACAATCTCTGCACAAAAAAGTACATATAAATTTTCATGTCACGAGTAATCTATGTAGTGTGTAATATCAACTAGTGAACGGTTTGTTAATTATAAATAAGTCTTTTCGCGGGCGATAGAACAATATAACCAATGTGACAAATCATTACATTTTAAATGCGAGACCATAAGCGACCATCTTTCAGTGTTATCCTTTTTCATTGCAGCTGTGTTGTGCTAAATCTATAAATATCATTTCATGAGGTGTTGAGGCATTAGATACAACGATGAAACATCCCAAGCTTGCCATATTATCCAAATTATCAAAACATCGTATTTCATGTTTTATGTTCATGGCACATTTTCATCACTCTATCAATTGTACATGCATCATGACGCTTTCAGACCACAGAAAATGTCAACGGATATTGAGAGCAGTGGTGATCCTGCTGCAGTACCATAACGCGTATGTTAATTAGTCGTAGTATGGACCGCGTCCAATCAGTTGATGTGAAGGCGGAATACTGTGATGTTTGGACTACTGTGATTGGTTGTTATAAAAAACTGGCAAGCATTGCCCTGAGAAATTACCTGGCGTGACATGGATTCAGATTGGGAAGAGATCATTCCTAGTTTCATGGGCGTCTGATCATGTGATTCCTTCGATATAGGACTTGTGTTCGTGCATTAGGCAACTTAACACCCATTTTCGTAAATGGACAGCCCTATTGCTATACCTCTATATATGGGAAGTTCAACTGCGATGAATCAGTAAGGCCTTTGGCTCCACATTAACGTACAGCGATGGAACGTCCTACGCTTGCCATTTTAGCAGTTATGCTTGTGTTGGGCCTTGCAAGATGCGATGACTACTCTCGTTTCCTTGTCGACATCGTTGAACCAACAGGCGTCGCTGATGTACAGACCACCATGGCCACTGTAAAGAGCATCTTGCAAGAAACAGACGGTGTTGACTACAGCTTTAAGGTTGGTAAAATTTGATACAGTTGCTTAAAATGCATTGTGTGTATTCAGGAGTATTCAAATAATTAATTGCCTTATATATTATCAAATGAAATATAACGAAAACAAAAGATGATTAAGAGGTACACTGTAAATGGATGTGTATCTGTGTCTTTTTGCAGGTCGTTGGTGAACCAAGAGTATTAGCAAGTAAGTACACACTTGACAGTCTACCTTATAACTGCTTCTGTTGATTTGCCTCTGGGCGTCCTCGTACTTTAACTATAATAGTTCAGGGCAAAAGTGTACTTTATTACACTATACATGAAAGAGATGTCAATTCAGTAGTATTTGGGCCATAAGGCTTATAATGCAGTTGACAGATACAATATAAATTTCACGTATTCATGAACATTTTAGTTTCATATAGATCTTATTTTGAATATTTCATTGAGGTAGATCGCTGTTAGGTGCTGTAAATTACTGTTTTGTAACATGAAAATGGCTTCAATGGTTAGTGGGCCTGTGTAAACTGATTGTAGCTTCTGTAGATATAGAGTTCTGGCTTGACTATACTTGTCACAAACAAAAATACGCGGTTCTCGTCTTCATTAAGGTTATGATTACAGAGTTCACAGATGGGGTTGATTGTCGTTGTATCTTTATTGGTTATTAGCTTGTTTATCTTGAAGTTTGTTAGGGAAGCTCTAAATTTGAAGTAAATTCATATCAGCTGTTTACATGGGGGTAGAGTGAACTGTATTTCTGACACACATGTGAAAGTCATTATACCCCTGCTACAAAGTATATAGCTTTCATTCAGTCCTTTCTTCCGTTTTTCTGTCCTTCCCTCTCGAAAATTTGTCTGGAGCTTATCTCTTAACGTTTACATGCTAGGGTCATCAAACTTCACACACATTTTAATAATTCCCCATAGATGTGCCTTTTGCTATTTGTTTATCAGAATTGAACTTTTTGCTGTTTCTATTGAAACACGACTTCTCCGGGCCATATCACCGAAACTATACAAGCTTCACAAGTTAATCTTGACCAACAGATGCGAAGTTTTGCTACTTTGAAGTTTATCTGAATTTTACTTTTCCATGGAAACATGACTTGGTGCCAAAGGTGTTTGATGGTTATCTTGTCCGCAACATATCTCTGACGCTATACATGCCAGGTTCAATTATTAATGCAATCAATAATTGGCAAAACTATTACAAGTTTGTTGGCGTCAAAGGGAAAGTCTTGTGATATGTCCGAAGGCAACTGGGGTAATACAATTATGTTGTCTCTTCTTTGGTGCGCTAAACTCAGGTAGAAGTGTGACCCTGTACACCTAGGTTGACAGCCCTATGGCCAGGAAGGAAATGCCGAATATACAGGCAACTTGTCATGTCAAAACATTGAAGGATCTGTTTTAAAATGTCAATTGCTATTTTATGATTGATTTTTGAAAAGAGATAGAATTGATATATTTTGATAATATGTTTTGTGAATAGATAACTGTTTTATCATTGGTAGTTTAAATTAACAACTGATATTGTTAATGGCTGTATCCTCAAAGGAGGTTAAAGTACTGTAAAATTGTTGTCCTCCTGGGAGGGTGCGTAGGACCCCAAACAACTAAAGTAAATTTAAACATACCACTATTTTTAACCACAGTATATATGTTATTTTACTTTATGGCCAGATTGTCAGAAAGTGCTAACATCTGAAGGGATGGTGTAGATCCAGCTTGGGTCCATGCAGGAAGCAAATGCACTGTAATTCCCCATGGTCCTAAGTATGGTGATCTACCTTCAGTTGTTGCAATATATAGCCTGTTTTTTTAAACTGTATTGTCACCTGTAGATAAAATGTTTTATATTTAATCAATAGTTTTTCAATTTATATCTGTGATAATCTAGTTGTTTTACTGTCCTTCGTAGACAGGATTTTAAAATTTACTTTCAATTACTATAAATATATAACCAGATTTAGTCACGATATGGCTGAAAAACTGAGATGTGATTTAAAATCTTAACTCACTCACTCTTAAGCGTGATCTCTCTATAACTACTTTCCAGTTCTGGATATAACCAGCCTGTGCGATATGCGTTCTCTCGAAAAGAAGTTGTTGGCGGCTAAACTGGACATCACAGTGAAATCTCTTTTCCTGGGTGAACAACTTGCAGCTGATCTGGGGGTGAACAAAACCCTTATTGAAAGTGTCAAGCCTCTAGGGAACCTAACTGGAGACCGCATTTACTTTTGGGATGCAGTTTTCAGAATGGAAGGTAAAACCAATTTTGAGTTGCAGCATATAAAGTTGCGTTGTTGCGATTCATAGGCAAACATCGTGTCCTAAAGTAACAAAGATGTTATGATGTACTTCTTTTCCAAAACATCCCTTCACTCTCTAAAGTGTATAGTAATTAAACAATCAATATTATTGTAGTCATCGTATGTACTTGTGTATATCAGATCTAACCAGTGAAGAATACAAAGACGAAATCCGAGACAATCTGGAGAGCTCCCTCAAGTACAGACTGGACGATCACAAGGGTCTCGCGTATAAAGTTCTCGGAGAGTTTCCTATTCAGGTAAATTGTGGAATGGATGTTTAGATCGTTGCTAAGTGCTTTCATTTACTGATGTGGCTTATCCAAGCTCAATTAATTACGAACCGGAACGTGATATAAACCGAAGATGATAAAAAAATGGGTGTATTGCTGCAGGTAAATGTCTACGATATATTGAAAACATCGTATGTGTCCGGTTGTTAATTTGTGCCATTTCAATGAACGCATTAATAATTAAATAATGAATTTTGTTCATACATATGTAAATATATTTTAACCGCCTCACCGTGTCCATAAAGAAGAAAAATTCGCCATGGTTGTTTTATGTTTGTAGATGCTGTACTTTGCATCATCGAAACCAGAGGAAGCTGAACTGGCTATCTGGCACTTCAACCGCCGGAAACTGATCTTCACTGCAACGGTGGCCCTGGTTCAGAACCTAGACGACTATCTTAACGACTGTCAGTAACAATCTGTACTTTTGGCAATAAAGAAGTCAATAGCAGAGACTTTTAGTTTGGCATTGAATAAGACTTATACCAATTTAATGGTTGAACGACTCCAGCTATCTTTGTAGGCAATGCAGTTGTGAATAGAGTTAAGATTTTAAGTCACATCGGCAATATTTCAGCCATATCGTTGTGAATAGAGACAGAAATGTATTCCTTGGGTATAAATTTTGTCAACGTCTGAAAATGTCGTTTTCATGCGTGTGCTTAATATTTACGGATTCAGGCTATCTTCATGCCATCGTGTATTAATGAAACACGAGACGCGAACCTGTAAATAAGCAAATCTTGTACCACACAATCAAGTGACTGATATTATGAGCGTTCCAAATATTTGCGGTCAATGAAATTAGTTTAACGTGAGCGATCTCGCGCATGGCGTTTCATGTATTTGCGGTCAGTGGAATGAGTTTATTAATGTGACGATTGGCATGATCGCATCCGGGTGTATGTCCTGAATTAACCATAGCATCAAACCGTGAATAGAGAAAATGTATGTATTGAATTTAATCAAATGTATTAGATGATATTGGGTAGAAAATAGTTTATACTTCCATACTTATTGCTGCGCTATGACAATGATACAATTTTTTATGACAGAAATGTTGAGCAGTCAGTTCTGTGAACACTTACTATTTGATATGAGATGGCAATTTCTCTGTTTTTCGTTGCTTTAAAATAATTGACTGCTTGATCACTGTCCCAAATATGTTATATTTTAAATGTGAAGAAAAACTCATATTGTTAAATAACTAGTAAATTAGACTTATCCATGGCGCAGACATTGTTTAGGTAGTGCAGTGAGCTGACTGCACCAGTTTATTGCTATTTGATATGTAACATTTACTCTGACCCATCTCAGTGAGTGAGTTAAAGTTTGTAGTCACATTTACAATATTCCAGTCATATCGTGACTTCAGCCGTTGCCGAGTGTAGTCAAATTTAGCCAAATATCAAAATGACACATATTCTGCAATTAAAATACCTAGTATGAAAAATACTTTGAATGAAATTTGACTTAAATACCTTCTCACTGGAGCAATCAATTTACGGTACTTCAACCCCTTCTGAAGGTATTCTACGAACAGTCGAGGTGGAACAGGTATTTATTCATTCTAACAAATTAATACATTTACTAATTACAATACAAATTCAAAATTTATCATTCAAGTCAAAAATGTAGACAGACAGACAGAGGGAATATTTATAGAAGTCTCATCTCAACAGTATATTGCATATAGGTACATGCATTAGGACAATACACGTCATAGTATCAAATGATAAATCACCCTGTAAAGAGTTATGAAAGACTATATACAAGATTTAAATGACACTAAGAACATATGATTACTTTTAAAGAAGTGTATACTTATAAACATAAAATACGTGAAAATATCATTTTATAAATACATTAAAATTAAAAAGCACAAAAGATGCAAATAATTATGAGTGAGTTAATATTTAACGTCACATCGGCAATATTTCAGCCATATCGTGACGAGAACAATCTATACATTAAGCCAAAACTAAATCTATAATATAAAACCTGTCGTCGAAGGACATGAAAAGAACTAGACTATCATATATATGGTTTAAAACTAGTATGTTGTAATAAAATGTATTACTACAGAAAACAATACAAAATAAAAAAATGGCTGCAAATCGCCAGCAACTAAAGGTAGATCACCAAACCACAAATATCTTGAGATATTGTATTATCCTATTTTTAAATCCTATTTTAAAGATGGATGCTAGTTGTAATTCTTGATACTGTGGTTTTACTGTACTTCGTCGGGGTGCAACTCCGCATCTGAATCTTGAACGGGCGTTTAGCTGGGATCTCTTGAGCCGTCGTTTAACATACACTTCTGTCTGATATTCTGTCTTGAAGATACAACAGGTGCGCAGCTTATTTTCCCCACTTCCGCGTGTAGGATGTGGTATCTGTTTTTATTTATCTACAAATTCTGTCAAAAGTCATTCTTTTACTTTGTTTACAGCAAAATTCTCAGCATATTGTCGCTCATATGGGATAAAACTGGCCAAGCCAAGGAGAGTAAATTTGTTGTGAACTCTGTAGCACTGATTGCATTTTCCTTTTTGTCAGCTGTCATATTTGGTAGTCGCATGGTGACACTTCCCCATTGTCTCACAGTAGGAGGAACCCAGCCCATGTCCCCACACACTGCATTGTTTGGAGCGTATCGTCTCAGTCCAAGATATAACGTCATTGCCCGGTTTTGCACAGCCTCAATACAGTTCATCTTGTATGTCCCCCAAATGCTGGCGCTTTACTCGATAGTAGACCACACCATAGTGTCGCACAGTTTGATGAGCGTGTCATACTTCAAACCTCCCAGTGACGTGAATTTGGAGATGAAAAGACCAAGTGCTCTACTCGCTGAACTACCTTCTGCTCTTGACATTCGATTATAATCCACTTGTTCTGTTATAAGAATTCCCACATAGCTCTGACAGTCTTAGAAGTCATTTATCCTGGGTACAGAAACTGATCTATAGTGTATAACCTCGGACTTTCCATCGATAACAGTCGCAGCGTTCGCTTAGCCCCAGGAGTTCGGACAGTACAACAAGAGGTTCAGATCACTCTCAGCCTCGGCCAGAAGCACTACGTCATCTGCATATGACTGACTGACTGAGTTTAGTTTTACGCCGCTTTTAGCAATATTCCAGCAATATCACGGCGGGGGACACCAGAAATAGGCTTCACACATTGTATCCATGTGAGGATTCGAACCCGGGTCTTCGGCGTGACGAGCCAACGCTTTAACCACTAGGCTACCCAACCGCCCCTGGGCTGCCTGAGGTAACATCATTTGAGAAACTTTTAAGTAGTTAAGTATATTCGCTGGTAATAGAAATAGTACATTTTGAAAGAATGATGTGTGTCTTTGCCAAAACAGCCTAATGGTGAGGGCTGCTGTGGGTTGTTTAAAGATATGGAATCTCAACGATTCCTTATTTGATATTTCAACATTTCAGGTGGCTATTAAAGAGGAACCCCTGAAATTGATGACCAGTCTCTTCCACAGTTGCCAGCTCTTGATTCTCCAGATGTGTCTATTGAGCCCAATGAAGAACAGGATGCGGTTGTCTCTGTTCAGGAACACACAGGACCCTGCTTGGCCAAGCGACCAAAGATTGAGTCAGATGTCAAGGGGAAAAAATGTGCTCTTGGTTATTTACTTGGTGAAGTGTTCATAACTAAATGTGAAGAAGGGAAGAAGTCCAAGGTGGACATGGTTAATGATGAAATTAACAAGTACAAAGACATGCCTACCATTCCATTGTCTGCAGATCCATTGATCTGCTGGAAAGACAATGAGTACATGTTTCCAATGTTGTCAGCCTTAGCAAAGAAATACTTGTGTGTCCCTGGAACATCAGTACCATCAGCACATTGTGCCCATGTGGGGAATCGAACCCGGGTCTTCGGCGTGACGAGCCAACGCTTTGACCACTAGGCTACCCCACCGCCCCATCTGCATATGATGCAAGCACCCTATTCTCTTGCGTTGAACATCTTCCCTTTTACGTTAGCTTCTAGGGCTGGGACGGGTACTCGGGTACTCGAATCCGGATCGGGTGCAGCTGGAATCGAGTCTAATTTCAAGGAATCGAGTACTCGGAAAGGGTGAGTACTCTGAAATGTCAAGGGCATGTAACTCAAACCAAGAACAAAATGGACGACACGCATGCTAAGTGTGTTTGGGCTCATTTTGAGCTTGATGCAAATGGCAAGAGAACCAAATGCCGACTCTGTGGTACCATGTTACATATTGTGGAAGCAGTGCAAGTTTAGTGAACAAACATCTTGCTCTAGAACACAACGTAAAACATAAAGGTGTTCATTGCATTGTGTAACTCTAATTGCTTATTAAGTTAGTTCATTAAAAGCTGTTAAGATTACATTGAATTTTGTCATTTCAATTTCATGAACACATCTTTTACTTCTGTGTCAAGGCTGAATACATTCACTATATAGAGATTGTAATTAAATGATTGTATGTGTTGGGAATATCAATTAAAACTAATGAATTAACATATTAAGCGAACGTTTATTGAAAGAGCACATTCTGATTTGCAAATACAATGTTCGACTGATTATCATGACAATAAGAAGAAAGGTGATCAGAAATATATAGGAGCACAATTCACTTAGATCACATATAATACCATTCAGTTAATATACATTTTATAGTTTAACAAATAATATCAGCATACAGTTATTCCAATGAAGATACGCAATGCTCACTTAATATATACAAATGTAGAATATTTAAATAACAATAGTTTTTTTGTTTTTTGTATTTAAACGTCAAAATATAGCATTTAGATATATTTCTTTATCCATACATTCAAACAAAAGTATTTCAATGCGACTTTTAATAATCTTCTGGAAGGATAAAAATTCAATCACTGTATTAGATTGTACTGTATAATAGACTAACTGTAATGCAACTGAGTTGCGCAACAGAGCAAAATGACCAGTCTTCCCTCATGCGAGCGAAGCATCTGCTATGTTGCTTAATTCAGTTGCATTACAGTTTGCCGGTCTGTATATCTCGTATAGAATTCTTCAGTCAGTAAATACATCAATCAAATTTTATTCTATGTAAGGTTACATAAAATCTACATGTAAAACAGTAAAGGTTCAGTTAGAATATCACATCTGAATGTAGTTGTGTACTAGTTGACAAAATAACTTGTCTTTCTCATTGACGTAACACACATACAGTCAAATCCCGATTAGCCGAATGCCGGTGTCTCGAATATTATACATAACTCGAAGTACCTGTCGGTCCCGACCATTCCCTGTTATAGTTGTCATCATTTGAATACCGGTTACACGAATTCGTCTCATAAATACACAGAAGGAAATTTGGTCCCATGAGATTCAAACAACAGCAATCTTGTATACATAAGCTGAAGTCAGTCAATGAGAAGTTGATTGGTGCAGCAAACTGATCCAATTAACAAACCAGCGGCGCTCACACCTTTCCGCCATTGACGGGTGAGTTCAAAAGGCAGATTAGTGATTTTACGGAAATCACTGTCTGTGCTAATCAGACTGGAACTGATAAGGTGCCCCTATTAGTGATATGGAAATCATTAGATAAACAAATGCTTAGGCGGAGAAATTAGGACTGGATCATCTTTTTTTCTACCCTCATAGACATACTTATGTCTCGAATACATCGATAAGTCGAATTTATTACTTGGTCCCTAGCGATTCGACTCATCGGGATTTGACTGTATATATCTTTGGTATTGTCCGGTTAATGGATGTTATTATTTACGACTGTAATTTATTTGCACATGAGCAATGTCACACCAACAGTGGGAACGAAAAGTGCTGTGGAATGTACGTAATGGTGTTACTCTTTATATAAGTTAAACAGACGTAAATTAAATAGTCTAAGATCAGTTTCAATGTCTTATTGCCATCCTTTCATATTTTCTATAATAATTTCTGTCAAATCGTGATTGGATATTCAGAAAGTTGACAGAGCGCTGTATTCCTTACATTTCCGGGTACTCGATTCCGATTCGGGTAAATACATGCGGGTACTCAATTCCATTATTTCCTACCCGTCCCAGCCCTATTAGCTTCCAGTAACTTGGTGTACAGAGTTGATCGATCAATTGCCCTTTCCGGTAACTAAGTTGTCCGTCCTTGGATGTGCGCCATAAGCTTTTCGATCAATAAAGTCTGCAAAAGTATTATAGCCCTTCTAGCATTATTATAATATTATAGCGCTCTGCAAAAATGTCATTTAACATCTCAAACTTTACACTAGGTTTCTTGGCCTCCTGGCATCGAAATACAATAAACTTTTGTTGTTCTGTTATATAAAGGCTGCAAATATAGATTTTTTCAGTGCTTTCCTGTTTTCCCCTAAAGAAGTCAGAGAGGCTACGTGCTCGGTTGTGGATCTCCCTCTTCTGAAGCCATTTGATTGTCCTGTGAAATCTCGAATTTCTCTACAAAGTTAGATAATCTTGTATTCAGCATACTTTGTACGACACACTGGCGATGGCAAGTCCTATGTAGCAAAAGGGGTCTTTGCGGTCCTCCATGGGCTATTTAAGAATAGGAGTACTTTACTCTGTCCAACTGGTAGAAATGCATTCTGAATTGAAGCAGATAGTAAACAGTTTATGTAGGTACCTAAAACGTAAATCAATTATTCAATATTTCTGCAGGGATATCATCTACACCGCATGCTTTACTCTTCCTAGCCCTGGACGCAGCTCCCTCACTTCCTCTTGGGTGATAACATGGGACATCTCTGTATCTTCCGTGTCGTCCGGGTAGGGAGTATAGTTATCCATTATCTCGTTGTTACAGTTAAGTAATTCCGAATAAGAGGTTTTCCATTTGTCCATTACTATTACAGGGTCTCTGGTAATTGATACATCCTTTAACGTAACCTCCATTGGTATCGTATGTTGCCTTTCGAGTGAGTGAGTGAGTGAGTTTAGTTTTACGCCACACTAAGCAATATTCCAGCAATATGGCGGCGGTCTGTATATAATCGAGTCTGGACCAGACAATCCGGTGATCAACAGCATGAGCATCGATCTACGAATGACATGTGCCAACTAAGCCAGCAAACCTGACCACCCGATCCCGTCGCCTCTTACGGCAAGCATGAGTTACTAAGGATAATTACAACCCGGATCTTCACGGGTCTTTGCCTTTTGAATCTTAACCCAATCTTCCCTATCTTTCTCCAGAATTGTCCAGTGTCAGAAGCGCACGAATCTTCAATTTCTTCTATAGTCCTTTTGTTGTGTATACGTTTTTTCTCTTTTACACAGTTTATCAAAATCTTTTCACTTTCCCACATGCTTTAAGAAACCGCCTTTCTCACACCTTTAGCCCGACACCAATGCCTCTCCACTTGACACTTTTCATTCAAGATCGAGAAGAGTTAGGTTTAAGTCGACTGTCCAGGATGCCTACTGTCACCAATTCATTTTAACTTGGATCCGTGAAGTTCCGGGTTAAAATAGATCTTCAATAACCCATGCTTGTCGTAAGAGGCGACAAACGGGATTGGGTGGTCAGGCTCGCTGACTTGGCTGACACATGTCATAGGTTCCCAATTGCGCAGATCGATGCTCATGCTGTTGATCACTGGATTTCCTGGTCCAGACTCGATAATTTACAGACCGCCGCCACTACACTCGCTCACTCACTCTTTTTAACTTGTATATAAATGACTTTTTAACTACCATCAATCAGCTTGAAGTCGGAGTCGTGGTAAACGAGGAGAGAATAGGGATGCTTAGTGCTTCTGGCCGAGGGTGAGAGTGATCTGAACCTCTTGTTGTACTGTCTGAACTCCTGGGGCCAAGTGAACGCTACGACTGTTAAGTGAAAGTCCAAGGTAAAACACTTACGATTAGCTTCTGTACCCAGGACAAATGTCGTGTTTCAGTGTGGAACAAGAACTTTAGACCTCGAAGACTGTCAGAGCTATGTGGGAATTCTTATAACAGAACATGAGGATTATCATCGAATGGCGAGACCAGCAGCTAGTGCAGCGAGTAGAGCACTTGGTCTTTTCATCTCCAAATTCACCTCACTGGGAGGTATGGAGTATGACACATTCACCAAGCTGTACTACACTATGGTGTGGTTTACTATCGAGTACAGCTCCAGCATTTGGGGGACGTACAATATGGGCTATATTGAGGCTGTGCAAAACCGGGCAATGAGGTTCCATCTTGGACTGAGACGATACGCTCCCAACAACGCAGTGTGTGGCGCCATGGGCTGGGTTCCTCCTACTGTGAGACTCAACATGCGACTTTGAAATATTACAGCTGATTGAATGGCACATAGAATATTTGGGCGACAGGAAAGAAACGCAATCAGTGCTACAGAGTTCACAAGAAGTTTACCCTCCCTGGACTTGCCCATTTTATCCCACATGAGGGGCGATATGCTGAGAATTTCGCTGCAAACAAAGTAAAAGAATGCCAGCATGCTTGCCAGACCACAACCTAATTGTGCATGCCTGGAATGAACTCGGGCGACGTATGTACAAGCGATACCCAGCACCAGGGGATCTCCCAGGACTCCGCTGAGCGCTAGTAGAGGAATGGAATGCAATTCCGCAAGCTTTATTTACGAACTTGATAGGGAAAATGAGAACAAGGTGCCCCTGTGTAGTTGACGCGCGCGGAGGGTACGCAAAATATTGAATGACCGAGTGCTTCATGTTTGTCATATTCAGTTGGAGGGGATGGTCTATGCAACTGATGATTACTAGTGCTGTTAGAACTTTTTGTCTGTTTGGCAACACATTAAACATTATGATGACACTCTTAGTTCTATTATTTTTTAGAAACTTTTCTTCACATGTGCTACATATCATTTGACCCTTTATTAATGACGCCTAGTATACATTTAACTGTTAGCGGTCTCTAGCCCGTATTTTTAATGTTGTATTGTCCCAAATAGTCATATAATTTTAAGTTAAATGCTAGTTTTAATATCTCAAATTGTGATATTTTACTTGTTTAACTGTCCTTTGTCGTCAGATTTTATGCTCTAATATTATCTAGTGTTAACATATTACCTATTTTAGTCACGATATGGCTGAAATATTGCCGATGTGACTATAAATTGTAACTCACTCACTAAAATGTTTTTATGATATTATAGGACGGCGATCAAGCTGAAATTTACATATCAAATAGCAATAAACTGATGCAATCATCTCTCTGCACAATATCAGCACTATCTGCTTCATGGATAGATCTAATTTAATAGTTATTTAACCATGTGAGTTTTTCTTCACAATCAAAAAATTTTTTATTTGGTACAGCCATCAAACTGACAAATTGTCATCACATATCAAACAGTATATGCTCACAGAACTGACTGCTCAACATTTCTCGCATAAAAACTTGTATCATTGTCATACATAGTAATAAGTACGGAAATATAGGCTATTCTGTACCCAATATCACTCAATATATTTGGGGCGGTGGGGTAGCCCGGCGGTAAGAGCGTCCGTTCGTCACGCCGACGACCCGGGTTCGAATCCTTACATGGGCATAATGTGTAAAACCATACTCACTCACTCACATTTTCTCTCTTTAATGCGTGATGCTATAGTTGGTGTAGTACATACACCTGGATGCAATCATGTCAATCGTCACTCATTTCATTGAAAGCAACTACATGGAACGCCATGCGCGAGATTGCTCACATTAAACTAATTTCATTGACCGCAAACATTTGGAACGCTCACATTATCAGTCACTTGATTGTGTTGTCAAGATTCGCTTATTTACAGGTTCTCGTCTCGTGTTTCATTAATACATGATGGAATGAAGATGGCCTGTTGACTTGAATCCGTATGTGTAAACATTAAGCTCACGAATGAAAGCGACTCTATTTCCAGATGTTGACAAAAATTATGCTCAAGGAGTACATTTCAGTCTATATTCACAGCTGCAATACCTACAATGAGAGCTGGAGTCGTTCAACCATTAAATTGGTATAAGTCTTATTCGATGCCAAACTAAAAGTCCCTGATATTGACTTCTTTATTGGACAAAGTACAGATTATTACTGACAGTCGTTAAGATAGTCGTCTAGGTTCTGAACCAGGGCCACCGTTGTCGTGAAAATCAGTTTCCGGCGATTGAAGTGCCAGACAACCAGTTCAGCTTCTTCAGGTTTCAATGATGCAAAATACAGCATCTACAAACATAAAACAACCATGGTTAACTTTTCTTCCCTTTATGGACACGATGAGGTGGTTAAAATATATTTACATAAGTATGAACAAACTTCATTATTTCAATATTAATGCATTCATTGAAATGGCACTAACTAAATACCGGACACATACGATGTTTTCAATATATCGTAGACAATCACCCGCAGAATACGCCCATGGGCGTTGCTTATTAACATTTCCGGTTCGTAAATAATCAGTAACTTAAAACGACCCAAATGCGTGAAATGTGTGCATACTTTAAATAAGATAAATACAGTGAGGATTGTTGCATTCGCCCTGAAACGAACTTGGTGTGTTGACCTCGTTACATCCCTTTCCTTTTATATAGTACTAAGACCCCGTCAGTGACAGTATATACCTTGATGGCAGTTTTAGCGTTACAAGCCCCTGTGATCGAGTCCACAAGTTACCTGAGTGAGTGAGAGGGTGAGTTAATAGTTAACGTCACATCGGATATATTTCAGCCATATCGTGACGAGAACATTTTACATTGAAATGGAATATGTGTATATCATAAAACCTGTCATCAAAGGACAGTAAAACAACTAGAATATCACAATTAGATTTAAAACTAGTGTGGAAGGTTAAAACTAATAGCATTATTACGACAATACAATATAAAAACAGGCTATAGATCGCCAAACAAGTTACCTGAATAGGAAACTGTCCGAGAACTCTGTACACGAGATCCTGGTGATTGGCCAGTCTGTAGTTAAGGCCGGACTCTAGATTGTCTCGGATTTCGTCTTTGTATTCTTCACTGGTTAGATCTGATATACACAAGTACATACGATGACTCAAATAATATTGGCTGTAAAATTGCTTTAGATAGTGAAGGGTTGTTTTCGAAAAGAAGTACATCATGACATTCTTGTTCCTTTAGGACCCGATTTTTGTCTGTGAATCGCAATATCGCAACCTCAAATGGTGCAACCTAAAATAGGTCTTACCTTCCATTCTGAAAACTGCATCCCAAAAGTAAATGTGGCCTCCAGTTAGTTTCGATGGAGGCAGGGCACTTTCAATAAGGGTTTTGTTCACCCCCAGATCAGCTGCAAGTTTTTCACCCAGGAAAAGAGATTTCACAGTGATGTCCAGTTTAGCCGCCAACAACTTCTTTTCGAGCGAACGCATATCGCACAGGCTGGTTATATTCAGAACTGGAAAGTAGTTATAGAGAGAATATGTTTAAGAGTGAGTGAGTGAGGTAAGGTTTTAAGTCACAGCAGCAGTATTACAGCCATATCGTGACTGAATCAAGTTCTAGAATTATTGTATTTGAAAGTAGATTTTCAGATCCTGTCTACGAAGGACAGTAGATTATCACAGATAGAAATTTAAAACTGCCAATTAAACATAAAACATTTCAACTATAGATGACAGTACACTATTAATACAGGCTATAGATACCTGCTAGCAACTGAAGGTGAAAGGCAAATATTATTATAGATGATAACTTCTTCTTTATTGTATGTCACAACGTTTCTATTCCGTGCCCCTTCGTCAAGTAGATCACTATACTGAGGACCATGAGGATCTAGATGCATGGGATCTAGATGGGTTTACACCATCCCTTCAGATGTGAGCATTTTTTTGACAATCTTGCCATAAAGTAAAATAAGATATATACCTTAGTTAAAAATAGTATTATGTTGTTAATTTAAACTACCAATCATAAAACAGATATCTATTTACAAAACATATTAATCGAAATTTGTCATTAAATTAATCTCTTTTAAAAAAATCAATACTAAAAATAATCTCTTTAAAAAATCAATAATAAAATAACATTATAAAACAGATCGTTCAATGGTCTGACATTTAAATATTTATCCCTTGTGATGGAAAAATCAACACAGTCAACTATGGTGAAGAAGGATTTCGAGTCATGTAACTAAGGTAAGTCTTTGGTTAGTTTTCAACAGCTAAAAAAGGAACTTTAGGATCATGAAATTTCGTTTGTACCTTAGCAAGGATACGGGCGTGGGGATGGGGGCGTGGGGTAGGGTTGTCCGATATCCCAGGTTGTCTATATATTCGGTTATTCTAAATATGTACTTTCCAGACGATGGGGCTGTCAACCTACATGTAAGGGGTCGCGCTTCGACCTGAGCTTAGCAGGACAAATAAGAGACGAAAAGACAAGATCATTTTATTACACCAATTGCCTGTGGAGATATTTAAACCGGTTTTCCTGTTATCAACAATATATGGGGTGTAAAGTAAATAAATAAAAAACCCAAAACAAAACAAAAACATCATCAGCAGAAGGTGCATTGATGAGCTCTCTCGAGGTTTCCTGCTCACTGGGTTTTCTGAACTGTCCATGTCACTCTTATAGTCATTCAATATTTACCGTATTTTAATCTTTAAGAGATATGCTTTGGGCAAGGTTTTGAGACGGAAAAACGGAAGGAAGGCCAGAAGGACGCGATATATCCCCGTTACTTCGTAGGGGTGGAGGGTGTGTGTGTGTGTGTGTGTGTGTGTGTGTGTGTATTTGTGGAATATAATGACTTCCACATGTTTATGAAATACAGTTCACTCACATGTATAGTGAAGAGTACACGTTTGCCCTGGACTAGTATAGTTGACGTACGTGGACGCCCAGTGGCAAATCAACAAAAGCATTATTTAGGTAGACTGTCAAGTCTGTACTTACTTGCTAATACTCTTGGTTCACCAACGACCTGCAAAAGACACAAATACACATAAATTTGCACAGTGTACATCTTAATCACCTTTTGTTTTCGTTATACTTTATTTGACAATGCATAAGAAATTTAATTATTTGAAAACTCCTGAATACACACAATGCATTTTGAGCAAATGTACAAAATTGGATCTAACCTTGAAGATGAAATCAACACCGGCTGTGTCTTGCAAGATGCTGTTTACAGTGGCCATGGTTTCCTCGACATCGGCGACGCCTGTTGGTTCAACGATGTCGACAAGGAAACGAGAGTAGTCTTCGCATCTTGCAAGGCCCAACATAAGCATAACTGCTAAAATGGCAAGCGTAGGACGTTCCATCGCTGTATGTTAATGTGGAACAAACGGCTTACTGATTCATCACAGTTGAACTTCCCATATATAGAGGTATAGCAATAGGGCTGTCCATTTACGAAAAGGGGTGGTAGGTTGCAGAATGCACGAACACAAATCCTATATCTATGGAATCACATGATCAGACGCCCATGAAACTAGAAATGATCTCTTCCCAATCTGAATCGATGTCACGCCACCTCATTTCTCAGGGTAATGCTTGCTAGTTTGTTACTACAACCAATCACAGTAGTCCAACTATCACAGTATTCCGCCTTCACATCAACTGATTGGACGCGGTCCATACTACGACTAATTAACATACGCGTTATGGTACTGCAGCAGGATCACCACTGCTCTCAATATCAGTTGACATTTTCTGTGGTCTGAAATGGTCATGATGCATGTACAATTGATGGAGTGATGAAAATGTGCCGTGAACATAAAACATGAAATACGATGTTTTGATAATATGGATAATATGGCAAGCTTGGGATGTTTCACCGTTGTATCTAATGCCTCAACACCTCATGAAATGATTTTTTTTAGATTGAGCACAACACAGCTGCAATGAAATAGGATAACACTGAAAGATCTCGCATTTAAAATGCAATGATTTGTCACATTGGTTATATTGTTCTATCGCCCGCGAAAAGACTTATTTATAATGAACAAACCATTCACTAGTTGATATTACACACTACATAGATTACTCGTGACATAAATATATATATTTACTTTTTTGTGCAGATATTGTCAGGAACAAAGATATGCCATGCGTACAAATAAAACGTAAGTGATAAGAATACGAACATTTAAAGGGTCTCTTGTTTCAAAATGTTAAACAAGCAGTTAGTCCTTATACGTTATATAACTTCCCATGAAGAAGATACGTGTTAGTATTGGTTATCAACAACTCATGCTTGTCGTAAGGGTTGACTTAACGAGATGTGTGTGTGTGTGTGTGTGAGTGTGTGTGTGTTGGGGGGGGGGGGGGACTGACACATGTCATCGTGGTGTCACTGGATTGTCTGGTCCAGACTCGCTCATTGACAGACCGCCGCCATATAGCTGGAATATTGCTGTGTGCGGCGACAACAAACCAACCAACAGTCTTGTTTCGAAATGTTGAACAAGAGCTTAAGTCCTTCCGTTAATTTAATTGGTTAAAGATTTTGAACACATTTTCCTAAACGCTGCCAAGAAAGTGGATCGCTCAAGTACGAATCAATAAATCAAATGAAATTAAACCAACTGATGGTTGGTTATACCTACTTGGGTTGTCAGTTCAGATTTGAAGACGTTATTATCCCACCGGCATGTAATCCGGTGGGATATAGTCGTCGCCTCGTCCGTCTGTCCGTCCGTCCGTCCGTCCGTCCGTCCGTCCGTCCGTAATCATTTTGTTTCCGGAGCATAACTCAAAGACCGTTGGATATTTTTCAACAAAAATTGGTAGATATGTCAAACATAACCTAAGGTGGTGCCTTTTGCTATTTACAGATTATTGTCATTTTTATTTTTCTTGGTTTCCATGGAAACGTTTTGGACTTAGTCTTAAAGAAGGGTGGGCTTCGTTTCCGGAGAATAAATCAAAAACCGTTCAATATTTTTCAACAAGACTTGGTAGATATATCAAACAGAACCTTAAATGGTGCCTTTTGCTGTTTGCAGATTTTTGGCATTTTTATTTTTCTCGGTTTCCATGGAAACGATTCGGAGTTAGTCCCAAAAGTGAGGGGTGGGCTTCGTTTCTCGGAGCATAACTCAAGAACCGTTCAATATTTTTCAACAAAACGTGGTAGATATATCAAACAGATCCTAAAGTTGTGCCTTTTGCTATTTGCAAATTTTTGGCATTTTTATATTTCCCGGTTTCCATGGAAACGATTCGGACTTAGTCCCAAAATTAAGGGATGGGCTTCGTTTCCGGAGAACAACTCGAAAACTACAAATATCTTTCAGCAAAACTTGGCAGATATGTGAGGCAGATCCCAAAGTGGTGCCTTTTGCTATTTGCAGATATTTGTGATTTATTATTTTCTCGGTTTCCATGGAAATGATTCGGACTTAGTCTCAAAAGGAAGGGGTGGGTTTCGTTTCCGGAGCACAACTGGAAAACTTCTTAATATCTTTCAGCAAAACTTGGCAGATATGTGAGGCAGATGCCAAAGTGGTGCCTTTTGCTATTTGGCAGAATTTTGGCATATTTATTTTTCCCGATTTTCATTGAAACGATTCGGACTTAATCCCAAAAGGGAGGGTGGGCTTCGTTTCCAGAGTATAACTCAAGAACCGTTCAATATTTTTCAACAAGACTTGGTAGATATATCAAACAGATCCTAAAGTTGTGCCTTTTGCTCTTTACAGATTTTTGGCATTTTTATTTTTCCCGGTTTCCATGGAAACGATTTGGACTTAGTCCAAAAGGAGGGGTGGGTTTCGTTTCCGGAGTATAACTCAAGAACCGTTCAATATATTTCAACAAAACTTGGTAGATATATCAAACAGAACCTTAAGTGGTGCCTTTTGCTATTTGCAGATTTTTGGCATTTTTAATTTACCCGGTTTCCATGGAAACGATTCGGACTTAGTCCCAAAAGGAGGGATGGGTTTCGTTTCCGGAGCACAACTCGAAAACCTCTCAATATCTTTCAGCAAAACTTGGCAGATATGTGAGGCAGATCTTGAAGTGGTGCCTTTTGCTATTTGCAGATTTTTGTCATTTATTTTTTTCATGATTTCCATGGAAACGATTTGCACTTAGTCTAAAAGCTGGACTTTAAGTAACTGTCAGATGATTTGTTCTTTCAAAGATGTGGGGGCTTGTTATACGACGGTGTCGTATTGGTCATTCTAGATATCCTCATGAGTACTCAAAAACGAATCATTAAATCACATGAAATACCAGGTAGATGAATCAGTGATAACATTAGATTGCTATATGATATTATGTTTGAATTGGAGGAGAAGAATGTACGTGGAATGTTACTCCTCATAGACTTTGAAAAAGCCTTGGATACTGTCTCTAAACATTTTATTATGCTGGTTTTGGATCAAACTTTAGAAAATGGATCTCAATTTTATCCAATAACGCTAGCTCTTATCTTGTACAAAATGGACATATTTATTTAGCTTTTATAAATGAACGAGGCTGTAGACAAGGTGACCCAATATCAATGTATTTAATATTTTTATTTGTAGCAGAAATTCTAGGCAATATGATCCGACAAAATAAAGACATTAAAGGTATATTATTGAATGACCAAGAATATAACCTAGGCCAGGTGTGAGGAAGGCGGTTTATTAAAGCATGTGGGAAAGTGAAAAGATTTTGATAAACTGTGTAAAAGAGAAAAAACGTATACACAACAAAAGAACTATTGAAGAAATTGAAGATTTGTGCGCTTCAGACACTGGGCAAATCTGGAGAAAGATAGGGAAGATTGAGTTAGGATTCAAAAGGCAAAGACCCATGAAGATCCGGGTTGTAATTATCCTTAGTAACTTATGCTTGCCGTAAGAGGCGACGGGATCGGGTGGTCAGGTTTGCTGGCTTAGTTGGCACATGTCATCGTATCCCAATTTCGCAGATCGATGCTCATGCTGTTGATCACTGGATTATCTGGTCCAGACTCGATTATTACCGACCGCCGCCACTACACTCGCTCACTCACTCTTTTTTACCATCAATCAGCTTGAAGTCGGAGTCGTGGTAAACGAGGAGAGAATAGGGATGCTTAGTGCTTCTGGCCGAGGGTGAGAGTGATCTGAACCTCTTGTTGTACTGAAATATTACAGCTGATAGAATGGCACATAGAATATTTGGGCGACAAGAAAGAAACGCAATCAGTGCTACAGGGTTCACAACAAGTTTACCCTCCTTGGACTTGCCCATTTTATCCCACATGAGGGGCGATATGCTGAGAATTTCGCTGCACACAAAGTAAAAGAATGCCAGCATGCTCGCCAGACCACAACCTAATTGTGCATGCCTGGAATTAACTCGGTCGACGTATGTACACGCGTTACCCAGCACCAGTGGATCTCCCAGGACTCCGCTGAGCGCTAGTAGAGGAATGGAATGCGATTCCGCAAGCTTTCTTTATGAACTTGATAGGGAGAATGAGAACAAGGTGCCCCTGTGTAGTGAACGCGCGCGGAGGGTACCCAAGATATTGAATGACCGAGTGCCGCATGTTTGTCATATTCATTTGGAGGGGGTGGTCTATGCAACTGATGATTGCTAGTGCTGTTTGAACTTTTTGTCTGTTTGGCAACACATTAAACATCATGATGACACTCTTAGTTCTATTATTTTTTAGAAACTTTTCTTCACATGTGCTACATATCATTTGGCCCTTTATTAATGACGCCTAGTATACATTTAATTGTTAGCGGTCTCTAGCCCGTATTTTTAATGTTGTATTGTCCCAAATAGTCATATAATTTTAAGTTAAATGCTAGTTTTAATATCTCAAATTGTGATATTTTACTTGTTTTACTGTCCTTTGTCGTCAGATTTTATGCTCTAATATTATCTAGTGTTAACATATTACCTGTTTTAGTCACGATATGGCTGAAATAGCTGAGTTGAGTTGAGTTGGGTTTTGCGTCACATCGGCATTATTCGAGCCATATAGTGACGAGAACAAGTTTACATTGATAAACATTGTAAGTACATACTCGGAATGAGTTTTATTTAAAAAAGATATATTCATTACATTGTCATTTAAAAGCAGAAAAGTCATAGCACCAAATGAAAACCTCATCGCAAGAGACACACATGGGGGGTCCATCCCCGTCCGTTTTCAGCAGATAGTCATGAGTAAACCGACTGTGGCCACCGTCTGTTTCTTGCAAGATGCTGTTTACAGTGGCCATGGTTTTCTGGACATCAGCGACGCCTGTTGGTTCAACGATGTCGACAAGGAAACGAGAGTAGTCTTCGCATCTTGCAAGGCCCAACATAAGCGTAATTGCTAAAATGGCAAGCGTAGGACGTTCCATCACTGTACGTTAATGTGGAACAAACGGCTT